CCCCAAAACCCCAAAACCCCAAAACCCCTTCATCCAAAATTTTCTTTAAAAAATGAGATTACTTCATCAAAATAATTAATAATCATAATTTTTTTCTCTCACTATTAATCTATAACTAATTTTTCGGAAAACTTGTAGCTCCTATTGTTCTTGCTTTGAGATTGTTAAATAATCTAGAGGCATCAATATACTAACAGTTAAAATTTCCATAGCTTATAGCACTTCCAGGGGTGCCAATAGCATTTTAATTTTATTGATTCTAGCCTTGCTTTATAATAAATGGTTGTATAATCTCGACGAAGTCTGAGGGATTGCTGTTTTTCAGTATTTATTAAATTGCAAATTTCATATCTTCAAAAGGCACAATAATAGCATTCTAGTTTTCTTATTAAAGTAATAATTGTCTTATCTTAAAGTCAATCTACTCGGTTCGTTTCATCTTCATAATTGTTTCAAGTATCATTTTCCTGTTTTTTAAGATGACATTTTCCATTGCTTCAGGGGTTCTGATTGCCAATGAGCTTAATTCATTTCTTGCCGGGGAAATATAATTAGATATCATCATATTTCTTGATGAGTTAGTTGCCGCAGAGTAGGATTTATTCTTGTTGATCAAGCATTTTTATTGGATTTTCTAAACTGTGAAGGCTTACACAAATTCATTTTTATCAATAAGGTTGTTTTTGTCTAGGTCTAATTAATCAAATAAATCCTTCATCACATGAAAAGATGGAGTCTAATCTTTTATCTTTAAGACTTCGTAGAGCTTCTGTATCATAGATTAAAACTCCATAAAATTAACTCTCCCAGAATTTTGCACATCAAACTAAACTATAAATACAATTAAAAATTACTAGAATGAAGGCATCTAATGGAGATACATAAGCTTCGCATATCAATTATCCGATCTCATTTAGTTTTTTCTATATCCTTTGATCTATTAATCTATCTTTTTAACTAAATAACAAATTTGAGCTAAAACATATCTTACCTCACTTAAAGAACAATTTCAAGCTATTTTATATTCAAGTCATTCTAACTTTGGCCAAATAATTATTTATTAACTTGATCTAATAAGCTCTATTCAACTTCAATGCCTAAATCCTTAAGAATATTGTTGAAACGCAACTAGGATATCTTTTCACCGTTATTCTTTAAGAGTTCTATTTTCGAATACAACTATTGTTTCTATTGTTGACTCATAGATTCTCTCATTCTCTGATAAAGCTCAAAATGAGTGTGAAAGTGAGTCAAACCCTTATTTGATCCTTAACTCTAAGTTTGACTCAGTTAGGTCATTAGATTTCTTAGTGTTGAGAAGCTCTTTTACTAAGTCTTAACTGATGTTTACTATAAACCATAGTTCTCAAAGCCATGCTTAACTGAAGGTACAGAATTCTTATAGAAAAAACTTCTTTATTTATTAGAGATTTGATATGTTTTATTCATCGCTAGAGCTGAGAAAGTAGATTACCCTATATATTCAAGATCTCCAAATAAAATTTTGAAAGAATTAAAATCTAGATAAGATTTCTCTCCTGATTATTAATTCTTGACTCTGTTTAGAAGCATCTTTTGGTTTTGGCTTTCTGACAAGAGGTATAACCATAATTAATTGATATCTTAATCTTTAATGGTAGTGTTTAAAAGTGATCTTACGCATTATTAGAAATCTTTTTGCCCAATGACTGATGATAACTGCTCATTTACTATATTTTTCTATGTTTATTGTTGATCCTGAATCATTTAAATTTTGACTGGGGAAGCTATTTATGACTAAGACCTTTATGTAAAAAACTTGTTCTTCAAAGGGAAAATGTCTCCTTCATTCTAAAAATCCGTTATTACTCCTACTTTATTATTCTTAAAGCATCTAATATAGTCAAAAGCAGTTTTAATGTCAGCAAAACTTGATTGAATCTATTATTTTAATTGCTTAAAAAGCTCTTGGATGTTTCTATCAACTAAATCATTGATGCTATTGAAGTTGAATGTTTTGCAAAAATCTTAAAACGTCAGGTAGCCCTTCTTATGTGGATCAACAAACGCAAATAACTCTTAATACAGCTATAGACTAAGATTAAACCCTTGGAGATAGTTCTTTGTCTCTATAAGTTTTTTAAATTAAGCAAATGATATCTGATTTTTATACTCACTGAAATCCTCAAATGCTTGTTAAATGTTATTGTAAAATTTCTGAAGGTTACTCTTGATCATTTAAATAGCATTCTATTTCCAATCATATTCAATTACTTGCTATGATGAGTTATGGCTAGGCCTTGTGCTTGAGAAGTTCTTACTAATTATGATAGTTGATCTCGTTTATTTCATTGAGTTTTTTTTATTTTCTTTTATGCTATTCTAGGATTTACTATATTCCATCTCCATAAGTTGAAATATATCTTGCTTGTTTAGATATCCTTGCTTTCCTCTATCTAGAAGCTTAAAAACTCTTTCAATTGTAAACTCTGTTATTTCTTTTACCTTTAACACATTATTTATAAATTTCCTTAAATCTTAAAAATCAATTTTCCCATCAAAATCAGAGTCAAGAGCTCTGTATAAATCGTCCGAGTTATAATTATTTTTCAAAGAAAAGCTTTTAATTAGCTCAATAATTTAATATTCATTGTCAAAGGAGTCTTTTACTTAAGGGTTTGAAACAAACTTCTAATTAATATCCTCCTCTCCAAGATATCTAATAGATTTCTCGAAATCATTGAAGTTGACTATCCCAATTCCTTGCTTATCCATAAAGTTGAAAATCTTCTCTTTGATGCTAGGACCAATATTTACAACTTCATTTAGCTTAGATGAAAAATCTACCAAATTGATGAATCCAGTTTTGTTTACGTCTATTAATCTAAACAATTTATTTTCATCCAAATTCTTATTAGTCATTGCTTATCTAATTTATCTTAATACATCTACTAATTTTTGTTAAGACAATTTTCCTTATTCAACAGTTTCAGCTTGTAAGTTAGTGAATTGCTATTCACATGATTGAAAATTATTGAAAGTTTATCTGTGCTCCTATTCTCTTACCGGCTTAGTAATCTCAAAATAAGCATTTCAATTTATTTCAATCATTCGATTTAAATCTTCAAAACTTAAATATCCATCTTGGTCTACATCCATAACTTAGACAAGAGATTTAAGCGACTCAACTGGTTTGGGGTATACCTTCTCCTTTATAAAAAGCACAAATGCATCAATGTTAATATGCTAGTCTTGATTACTTTTCAAGCCTATTTTTGACTGTTTTTTACAAATCTTTGATATCAAAGTCTGCAAATTTAACTTATTTTAGCTCAAATATCTTTACAGTCGATCAAGTAGTTTTCTTAGTTCCTGTTCCGTGTTTTAACTTGAGTCTTGTACTTATTCCTTATTTCCTTTAGACTTCACTTGATTCAAAAGCCAAGTGTAATTGACATTACCTGTTTTATCCTTCTCGATAAATCTAACAAATCTTTCTATCTCAATTGAAGGCAGTTTTAATTTTAAATTATCAAGTAGCCTTCTTAATTCTAATGGATTGATACTTCCTGAGTTATTTTTGTCTAAATTTTCAAATTTTTCAACGAATTTGCTTTCTCCAAATTCATCGAGTTTCTTTTTCAAGAGTAAATAAATCTTTTACTTGATATCGCTTACATCAAAATTATCACCTAGAAGGTACTGAAGTAGTTATCTTACGTAAACTTTGCCAGAAAGATCACTTTTTATTTCAGTAAACATAACTCTTAACTGCATGTGGTTTAATGATGAATCTATATAATGCATGCATTTTTGAAATTATTAGTAGTCTAATTACTCTTCGAATGTTTATAGCCTCATCTAGCGCAGTAATTCATCAGCATTAATCTCGTTTGAAAGTACAGTTTCTTTGATCATCTGAAGAGGATTCCTGAAATCATCAAATATTTTACTTTTCCACTCTTTGATACTAAGAGAATTGTTATTATCAATGTCAAAAGCTCTGAATAAAAAGTCTATTTATTTTAGAGTAAATGGTAAATTCTCTAGCATTATACCCTTTCTAAATTCTTCACGAGTCATAAAGCTTTTCATTCCCGACCTGGTATTCAGAATAAGTAATCGTTCGAAAGCCTAATCAGAGCTTAGTTACTTTCTTATCATCCACTCTCTGATTTTCTTCAATCCAACGCTCTCCCAATCTTTTGATATTTCGCTGTTCTGAAGCTAAGTTACAAAGTTTATATAAGGTATTGATTAATCTAATTCTACTTTCTTAGGATCATGCATAAAACCTTTACAATACAGAAAATTAAAGACTATTTATATCTCTTTCTAAGATAATTCCATATCAAGACCTTATGTTAAATCTTTGATCATACTCTAGAATTATACTAGAGTTAGCTTGTCTAAAAATATATTAAATCTGCTTATCTTACTTTGATTATTTTTATACTGCTTATAAAGTTCATCTGCTTTGATACCTTTCATATACATGCAATCTTTAATCCTTCTTATTTACATTTGGGCAATCTAAATCTATTGATTTTAGTTTTCGCTGTTAAATTTCATTTGCTAAACGTATTCATAAGCTCTGGCAACAAATTGACCAAAGCTTACTTTACTTTAATAAATCCCATTCAGTTGATAATTATCATCTTGAGCCTATTCTTTAGATAGATTGAGTGCTCTAAGTAGACCAGTAAGATATTAAGAAGAAATATTGATATTTTTATGAAGATACATAAGCAGCTCAGACTCTGTGAGTTAAGAATCTAACGTCAAACGGTTTTCTTCTAAAATTTTGGTCAACTATTTCTAATTTGTAATAATTTACTAGCAAAGTGATTTTATTGTAAGTTTATTAAGCCCAAAATTATCGTTTCCTTAAGTACCTGTGATTTGAGACTAATTAAGTTTGGTCCTGCTCCCAAAGTTATTGGTTGTCTAAGATCTTAAACTTATCCCACTAAATGTCTTTGAAAATATTGATAGATTATCTTCTAGCAGTGACTTGTTCGTTTATTTCAGATTCTCGTTCTTAATTAGATACTTCAATCTGGCAATTAATTATTATGGAATCACTTAATCGTTGCTTGTATTAATACTGCCATTAGCAGTAGCATTCATTTAATTTTTCTCAAATAAAAGAGGCTTGATTTTATCAATATCTAAGTCAAGCTGAGTTTTGCATATATCTTTTATCTTATCATATTTAATAGTGTGATCAAGATTTATATTTCCAAGAGATGTTAGAATTTTTTCTCTTTATTCATAGACTTTAAGAATTATTCTTTTCATCACTTCTATCTCCTCTTCTCTCATGTAACTTCTATCAAAGACAGTATTAGTCAATTAAGCCAATTTATTGGAAAATTGACTGCCTCTGTTATTTGTTCTGATTCTATCAAGTACTCTGTTAAAACTGTTATCTCTCTGAGGTGTTTTAATTGCTCGACTAATGTGTGAAGGTTAATTTTCAATCATACTCTTAGTTTAATTATTAAGAGGAGTACTATATTTCTAGCCTAGCTAGCTCATAGATCTTTTATTTGGTGAAACTAGACTAAATATAGATAACGTATCGTTTTAACTCATCATATTTCCTGATAATTCTTCTTGATCTTTGTAAGGAGATAAATCAATGATTTAACTATTGATTCGAGTATTTAAGTTCTTTGGCTATTAGTTATTGTGGTACTCAATATTTTCAAACACGAAGAATGATTGATTACTAGACACTTTAAGGCAACCGAGATTCGGAATCTTTAGTTCCACTTTTCCTTTTTATTTAAAATTGCTTTAGATCTGAGTAATCATATTCAAGATTGCTAGCTGAATATTAGTCTTTGATTATCCACTTAACACAGCAATCTCTGCGAGATTTAATTTTATAACAGGTATTACTCCATCTTGATTAGATTTTTAATAAGGTCTAACATGACCACCCTGATACAATCCAGAATTCACATTTTAAAGTAGATCTGCACTTATAATAAAGATTGGGTATCTTTACTAGTGATTTTTAAGAGCTTAACTTGTAGTTTACTATATACTGATTTAACTATGATAATAGCAATAATATTTACCGAGAAGTCATTATCAAAGTGTGTAAATGTAAAAACGCCCAGTTTAGAGACATTTATTCCTTTCCCTTAGAGTAGTTTCTAATTAATATACTATCCTATACATCCTAAGATACCTTAAAACTAATCTTTTGGCAACACAAAACTTTCTAGATCACTATATGATAAAGCTTATTAGAATAATACAATGATACCTATTTTTTATTTTTATATCCTAAGATAAGTTGTTTTTTTATTTTTCTTGTAGTTCCATTAAAATAATTATATAATTTTCGAATAATTTATTGCAGTACTAAATTGGGAGCTTGGGGTTTTGGGGTTTTGGGGTTTTGGGG